GATAAGCACAGCAGGTCTGGTATGTAAGTTCACAAAATAAATAAGTGAGCCAGATGTGTAATCACAAATGAGTAAATTGAGCAGTGGCGGTGGTGTGGTCTGTGTCCCCGCCACGTGAGTTCAGTGGCCATGAGCTGTTTCCCCACCCTGGCCTGCAGCCACTGCCAATGAAGGCATGAAGGAGGGAACAGGGACGCCAGGCTGGTTGGTGATCAGTTGCCATTTATTCCATTCTCCCCACGCACCTGTTCCAGGCTCACTAAGTGTCCCATTCCAGTGTCACACTGCCCCTCATTTTGGCTCCTCCTGTCGCCATGCTAAGTCTCTTGCTGCTCCATCTCAAAGCCTTGGTCTAACCCCACCTCCCAAGCATTGGGGATAACCATTACACCCAGGTCAGGTAGCATATGAAAGTCCTTCCTTCTGAGGGAAGATCTTCTAAAATAAGACAAAGATCTCCTGCAGCCAGGAGATTCATTCAAGAGGGAAATACCATCTAGAGGTGTGTTTCTCCTTTCCTTAGCCCAGCAACCATTTAAACAGGTCACGGTCACGGTCCTCCCATTGTTCATCGATTTGCTCGAGCGGGCCCAGTAACGTCTCCATCATGAGACTTGTTGTTACTGTGTTTGGCATATCGAGTACGTCACGGGTAGCTTGCCAGGCTCTGCTGTGCGGGCGAGATACTTTCGGGAGCTCACTGGGCTCTCCGAGAGGGGCAGAGGAATCGAACTCGAGTCGGCCATGTTGGCTGTGTGCAAGGCAAATGCCCTACCGCTGTGGTATCGCTATTTCCAACCATTTAAACATTCATCTTAATTCTGTTTCTTAGTAATATTAGTCGTTTTGTATGGACACAGTAAAAGGTAAAAGGTAAAGGCCCTCCCGTTGATCGTCGATTTGCTCGAGCGGGCCCAGTAACGTCTCCATTGGAGACTTTGTTGTTACTGTGTCTGGCATATCGAATACTCTCGGTAGCTTGCCGGGCTCTCCGAGAGGGGCAGAGGAATCGAACTCGGGTCGGCCATGTTGGCCGCTTGTAAGGCAAATGCCCTACCCGCTGTGCTATCGCTCCAGCCGTAAGAGATACATTAAGCTTCTAGGGTGGCTCTCCTGGGGACATCTCACCATAGATCCCAGACTATAGTGCTCAGGCCAGATTAGTCTTTCCTAACCCTAGCAGGGTCCTAATCCAGTTGTTACTCTTTGGATCATGATAGAAATTGTCCATGACCATGCTCTTAACTTACAGTTAAGTATTATGGCACTTGGCCTGGCCCATTTCAATGCCAGGGTAGCTCACAGCTTGTCCTGGGTCCATCCAGTCCCTTGTTGGGACCCTGCTTTTGGGGTGCTAGGAATTAAGGGCAACTGAGGCTTAAGTAGAGAAAGCAGATAACCAGGAATGCATATTATTCAGAGTCAATTGACTCCCAGGTTACAAAAGCATAGCATTAACTGTTCCTGTGGACACTGCTCTAAAGGAAACTATGCAAACGGACATAAGGGAAGAAGAAAAGCAATATTTCACTTATAAATACAAAACCGGAGTCCTTAGGTGGATCTGACCTTAGAAGTCAACAGAATCTGATTTGGGGATAAAGGTGATTGATGGTTGGGGAAGCTGAGCACAGAGAAAAGGTTACAGATAAATAGAGGAATGGGAGTGCCTTGGGAGCACTGTGATGGGTGTAACACAATAAACCCAAGCTCCCTGTGGCAAGGGAGAAAGGATAAACCAATGTTATCCTAGAGTAGGGCACTTGCCTTGGTTGAGGCAAGTGACCTGGGTTTGATCCCCGGCACCCCATGTGGTCCCCTGAGCATAACCAGGAGTGATTCCTGAGTGCAGAGACAGGAGAAACCCCTGAGCATTGCCAGATGTGAGCCCTAAGCCCCCCAAAAGAGATCTTGATAAGACTGATGTAGATTAGGGCTTCTCACCACTGGTACTTAAGGCATTCTGACCGAATAAATTGTTTTATGTGTTAGGAGACAGCATCCTGCTAGATGCCACTAGTACCTGTCCACTGTGGTAACCAAAAGTACCTTCACATATTCTCACACTTCCTGGTGAATCAAAATCACCTTGTTCAAAAGCTTTTTTGCTGCTACGTCAATCAGTTTGTAGAGATAATGGATCAATTAAACCTGTTATATGTCACACCAGCAAAATCCAGACTGTGGAACATGCAACAATTATAAACAAGTTTCTTTGCTAAGTAAGTTTTAGGGGATAAAAAAATGGAGCCCAGAGACTAAGAGACTTAAGAGAATGTCAGTAAAGTACAATGTATGAGCCATGGTTGGAATCTCATCAAAACAAATCTGTGTAATAGATGTGGCTCATGATAGAATAAATGACTTAACATGTGTCAGACCCTGGCTAGGAGCCTCCACACTGAAAACAAAAAATAAGAATACCTGGGGAATTTAACAACATCTTTGTGTTCAGAATTAATTCGGGAGACTATCTTTTAAAGGTTAAAGATACAAACTGCAGCATTTATGAAATAATAGTGCCTAGTGTTTTGCTTCAAGTAATCTGTGTGTCATCACGGTGGATGAAATAAGATTGGTCAAGAGTTAATGACTGTGGAAAGTGGATGAGATCCGATTTTTCATGTTTGTATATATCTGACTTTTTTTCTTTTTTCTAGGTTTTAGGGCCATAGCTAACAGTGCTCAGGTGTTACTCCTGGCTCTGTGCTCAGAGACCAGTCAGGTGGCTTTGGAGGATCACTGCAATGTTGGCAATTGAACTGGGTCAAATTTCTATCCTAAACGTGCTTATTAGCTGACTTATTGGTGGTACTTGACTACTATTAATTATCTAAATTTCAAAAATTTTAAAAGCATACTTTTTGAGTCACACTTTGAAGAAATTAGCCAATAGCGCCTTGTCAAAAAAATACAAACCATTTAAATTTGACAAGCATATGAATTATGGGAGAAAAGGAAACATCTGAGGCTTTGTTTTGAAGGGCCTTATTTTGACAGTGGCCATACCACACACAAGCGCTTCCTAATGGTTAACATAATCCTTAGGAATAAAAGAGAAAACAGCTGAAGACGTTTATAAAAAAAGTTTTATTTTTAAACAAGTCTATAAAAGTAGAAATCACATAAAAAAATACTGATCACTGACATGTTAGCAAAATAGCTTATGGCTGGACAGGAGTTGAGAAGTACTGTGCATACTGGGGAATCCGGAAGTCAGGAGTCCAACCAGATCCCATTGCTAGCCCTTGTCACTATCTGTAAACAACAATTTCAAGTAGTATTTAGCACTCTGAACGACTATAACATTGAAACATAATCATTTTCCTTACCACACTACTATAAAATGTTCTTCTTTAAATCTGAGCAGATAAGGGCACTTCATACCATAATTTCTAACATCTAAGAAATCTGAGTTTTATGAAATGTTACTAGGAATATCGGCTTTATGCAGAGGTCATCAGTTTAAACAAGAAACTAGTGTTTGTGGGTTTTATTCTTTTTTTTTGGGGGGGGGTAAAGCAGAATGTAATCTTTTTGCTTCTGTGTATCAGAAAATTTTTCACTGATATTATTAGAAGGTTCAACACCTCAGACTTAACTTTTATACAGGTGTACAATATGATTACAACTCTGAAATTGCACAGACGTGTGTATATTTCTGACGGAAAGAAACATGAAGTTTTAGGAAACAGGTCTAATAACCTAATAAAACGGGGTTTCAAGCAGTTATTATGGAAGACCATTAAAAAATAAAATACTATTTCTTGTTGGGAGGATCCTCCCAGGATGGGAGAAGCATGCTGAAAGTAGACTATAGACCAAACATTATTGTTACCTATTGCCTCTTTTGCAAACCACAACACCCAATAAGAGAGAACAAAAGGGAATGCCCTGCCACAGAGGCAGGGTGGGATGGGGGGGATGGGGGTTGGGAGGGATACTGGGATATGTGGTGGCGGGAAATGGGCACTGGTGGAGGGATGGGTATTTGATCATTGTATAATTGAAACCCAAGCACAAAAATGTGTAAGTCTACAACTGTACCTCATATGTCTCACTAATAAAAAAAAAATTTAAAAAATTAAAACAAAACAAAACAAATGTGAGCATGTTAAAAAAAATAAAATACTATTTCAAATACTTGATTCCGAGTAATATAAAAATAACTTTAATAACTCAGCAACAAAGGAAGATAAAACTTCAGCATTTCAACAAGAAGACTGCCCGATTATACCAACTTTCTAAAAGCAAGTCCTTTTAAAAGCTAAAGAATGCATATTAACATAAGATGATTAAAAAGTTTTAAGACTAATTTAGGAAATCTGGGAAAACAGTACCTTAAAAGCTATTTTATTAATGTGCATTAGCGATCCTTATAACTGTCACAGGAAGTTATTTCTAGGGCCTTATTTCTTTACAAATTTCATACTAAGAAATTTTTTGCTTTTAATTTGGGTTTTAAGGTTGATGTAGGCAGGTAGATAGGGAAAGGCCCTTTGCAATGAAACAAAGTTTCATGGAAGAAGAATTCTAGGAATGACCCACCTTGTGGATACAGAAAACAAAGGCCTGATAAGACCATCTGCAGACCCTGAGGATATAGGTCTCCCCATGAAATTCCTCTTTTTGGACCTCCTGGTAACCTCCTTAGCAACGGACTTTTACCTGGGAAGAAGCTTCATGTGGGGGCAGGCTGGAGAAACCCTATAAAGGCCACCTTGAACAAAGGAAGTGCGTGATATGCTGCCTGAGCCCATGTGTGCTTATGCCCACGTGGCTGAGCACATGTGGTGCCCGAGCACATGTGTCGCCCGCATCTCCCCTCTTGACATGTGTACTTTCATGTCTAACTTTACTCTCTCACTCTCTCTCCCTCCATACCTAAAAATCCTCCAAATAAAATCTATTTACTTCACTGCTTGTCTACTCCTGAAATTCCTTTCTGCGAGGCGAGACAAGAACCCAGTAACCCTGGGTCCTGGGTGGCAGAGGCGGGTGGGGAGAAAGTGACCATCTTTCTCCTCCCCACTTCACATAAGTCACCCGTGGGGCCCACCGACATCAAGGTGAGTCATGAGGGTTGTTTCCATTAATTTAATTTCATATCTAAAGGCAAATATTCTTCTATCCCCTGAAGAGAGTGCTTTAACTGCTACTATTCAACTCAAGACAAATAGCTTATTCTTCTTCCAATTTATGTTTCACAAAGGAATAGTGAAAGATTAAATAGAAGGAAACTTAGAGGCTAGAATGAAGATTGCCTGATAATTTGTAAGTTTGATTCAAAATAGATTTGATACGAAGTGCACTTGGAAGAGGTGGCTCAAAATCTTCTCTTTAAGAACTCAAAATTACAAGCTTGCTACTTTCCTAAAATTTCACAAAACCGAGAATTTAGGCTTACAAAAATAGAGCAGTGACAGCTCTTACAGTCACTGAAAAAAGGACATACATCATCGTCCTCTCTCCTAAGGGGTTTTCAGATATACTCAGAGAATGAAGAAGGCAAAGGAAAAATCAAGAGTGAAAATGGTTGAGTGCTCCAACTAGTGGGCTTCCTGCCTGTTTCCCTGTTCCAAAGAGGAGCCGCCATCCAGGAATAAATACTTCATAGACAACTGGGCTTTTGAAGTGTCAGCCGACATTTGATGCCCCACATCTCCTGATTCTTTGTGTTGCTAATGGTTGGCCTGGCAATGGTGGTGAAATGGGAGCCATTAATCTGGAGGTGAGGAAGGGCTTCCTTTAACAGTTGAAGGGTACCATCCGGCACGATTCCAAAAACTTGTAGTGTTTTTAGTGTGGGAATTTCTCCAAGTTCACTGGAAAAGAAGAGAAACTTTCAGAGAAACAGTATCGATGGAGACTTATTCCACTAGGGTTACACGACCTAATTTCTACAATTTGTATCCCAGTCTGTAAAATTCAAACTGACTGACAGCGTAAGTTACAAACAGTGATTTGGGAAAATAACCATAGTACATCAAACCAGAAAGCACAGGCCTGAACATCGCTTGGGCAATATGGCCTGAGGAAACCACAGTGCATTACATGGATTTTTTAACAACCAGAAAGCTCTGGAATTTATTCACAGCCAACCATATTTGCCTCTGATCTCCAATCTTCATGACAGGAGGACCTTCCTGGCGGTGCTGGGAAACAGTCCTGTGATAAGCACCTGTGTGGACCTTATGGTTTGTGCTCAGGCCTGGCAATGCTGAGGGACAGTAGCCCCCTACTCTGCCTTTCCTCGCTGTCTATCCTGGAGAGTGTTAAACTGTACTGGGATCATCAAGTTTTACTGGAAAATGTTTTACTGCAGCAAGAGCAGAAGATTATTTGCAATTAAAGGATATGAACATGACTTATTTGAGATAGGCTCTGGTTGAAAAGGTGGTTTCTGTAGAGCTGGAATCTTCCTTAACAGTGGTCACTAGCAGGGCTGGAGAGATATTTCAGCAGGTAGGGCATTTGTCTCACACGTGGCAGAACTGAGTTCGATCCCTGGCATCCCATCTGGTTCCCTGTGCACCGCCAGGAATAATTCCTAAGAGCAGAGCCAGGAGTAGCCCCAGAACATCGTCGGGCGTGGCCCCAAAATCAAAACATAAAAAATAGTTGCCAGACAACAAGTTTGTATATATGATGGAACTTTACTATGCCTTCACTAAGCGGATTCAAACTTATGCATGTAGTTGGGTACAGAAGCAGTGAAGTTGGGTACAGAACCAGTGAAGGGTGACCATCAGGTCTTCACAAAAGGCAAGGGCCCACTAACATACATAAGAGTTTTTGTTTTTTTCTTTTTAGTTGGCTTTCCCCTGTCACATGAGCCCAACTCACTTCTTAGGTATTTCACATTAGGTAAAAGACAACACGGTCAACAATGGAATGGGGATAATGTACACAAAAATGGGGCAATTGCTCCCCAAAGCAAATACATTTTGGTAATGATTCTTTCTTCTTAACTACTTCTGTATGCTCAGAGATCGAGCCCTCTGATCTGTATTTGCTCCAGGTTGGGACACACAGTACAAAGTCTCAGGAAAGGGAATATTTAGTTTGGAATGTCAACAAAAATCCCTTGCAGATCAATGACCAGACTGGAGAGTGACAGTGGGCTTTTTCCAACTTGTGACCTCTTTTTTTCCACTTGTGACCCCTTTTACCCAAGAAATGTTTAACATGGCCCTGGGTATATAGGTATAATAATTAGGTAAATAAACTGAATAAATCACAAATTTACTCTAGAACAACCCACACCTTCAGTTCCATCTGGGATAGTGTTCCAGTTTAAGAAGCTGGGACTTCTTAGAGAAGAGCAAAGGCTACCTCTCTAAGTTTCATGTTTCTCGACCTTAAAAAGCAACAACAAACCTTTCTGAGTTTTAAGGTGGAGCACATGCCTGGCATGTAGAGGGCCTCAAGTCTCACCTCAGGTCTGACCCTGGCACCACACGACTCCTCAGCACTGTGGCTATAGCCAGTGGAGAGGCCCCCAAACAAAACAAACCCATCCCCAGGTAGCACCTTATTCCAATCTTCCCTTCTTCCAGTCTATTCTCTATCCCAAGTCCAAGCCATCTTCCTAAAGCCCAGCTCACATTACGCCAGTCCCCATAGATGCTTCCATCAAGCTGTTCAGGAGCCTTAGACCCCTCCATGCTCAACACACACTCCCAGTATCCCCATCACGCCTTGAAATAAGTTTATTCTACATCCAACTCAGTGCCTAAAAGGCCAGGGATGTCAGCTGAAGGCAAGCTGAAGGATAACTTAGGAAAATGTGACCCAAATCAACAATCCGAGCTTGCTTAGTCATAAAGCACAATCAGATCTTGACCTTATGGGAGTCTGAAAAATTCAGAAAAGAACCAACTTGGTGGTGTCCTTTAAGAGCCTAATCTCTAGAATAAGGAAATCAGAGGGGGAAAAAAAAGGCCACAATATCCAGCACTGTAGATTTCCCATCATTTAAGATGAGTGCAACCTGCCCTGATCTTAAAGTCCTCTTACATGAAATCTGAGTACATGAGAACTCTAATCACCACTCAATCCTCATTCTGGGATACCCAGAGTCAGGTGTCAATCCAACCGCAATAGGCGCTACTGAGGAGGGGAAGGAAACTATGGGTGGGAACAAGGAAAGGAGCCAGGCTGACAGCACGGGGAATTCTGGCATCACCAGCACTGAACAGGACCTTGGGAAAGAAAGAAAACCTCCCCCTCTGAGAAGACACCAAGATGCTGCATGCAGAGGGCGTGGGCTGGATGACAGAGGGCAGGACCAGTGTTCAGGTGGAAAATCCACGACCTCTTTAAAGTCTGTGTGAGTGGGTTTGAGGTCTCAAACGTGGGGTGCTCAGGAGCCACTCCCAGCTCTGTGCCTGGGGGACTGTGCAGTGCAAGGATGGGGGCTGGACCTCCAGCATGCAAAGCCAGCACACCAGTCTTGGGAGCCATCTCCCTCCGATTTTAAGCAGGAACCAAAAGAAAAACTCTCTGAATCATACCTCATACTACTACTGTGCAAGGCCTACAACAAAGCAGAGCAAATATATGAACAGAGAAGGCGGAAACCCCGCAGAAGAGTTAAAGCATCCTGACACCTAGAATCCAGGAGGAGAGACAAAGAGTGAAATCAAAAACAAAAAACAATTTTGTGACCTGCTTGCAATTATTTTCCTGTAGTAATATGAAATATACATGATTCGATGTGATCTTTCAATGCCTCCCCACTACAAATTTTAATGGGAGCGCATGAAAAACAAATAGAAGTAGGAAAGAGTAGCTTCAAAGTCATTATTTCTCATTTAAGACAGATTAAAGACAGTGATAAGGTCTTAAATATACTTTTAATTTTTGTAAACAAAGGAATTTCTACACCCCTTCCTCAATTCTCTCTACCCCTTATTGATATAATCCTGTTTTCCTGGTAAAGTCTCAAATGCCTCCACTAGAAATTCTTCTATCTTAAAGAGTTTTACTTAATCCTTTAATCTGGGATCAGTTTATGAGCTCGAACTTGGATTTCTTACTTGAATGAGAAATATAGAATAATTCAAAGAGAGTTTAACCTTGGGGGCTCAGAGCTGTGAGCAGGTAACGGAATACATGCCATGAGCATAGCTTCTCAGAAAAACCTAGACGGCCTTCCCAAGGACTTCAAAACATCACAGAAGGAAGACTGCTGCTTGTCCACTTTCAAGAAAAAAATTCGGGGGCTGGAGCAATAGTCCAGCAAGAAGGGGGCTAGCTTTGCACACGGCCAAATCAGGTTTGTTCAATTCCCAGCATCCCAATATGGTCCCTTGACCCCACCAGGAGTAACGCCTGAGCTCAGAGCCAGGAGTATCCCCTGAGCACACACTCCTAAATAAAACTATAAATTCCTTATTTTTGTTTTTTGTTTTTTTTGTAGCTCCCCAGCAGTGCTCAGGAGGCCCAAGGAGCCCACTGCCTCGAATGTGCTGTCACCACCATGCCAACTCCTTCGCACAAATGGCTCTCTGCAAGTTCTTGTTGGGGATCGCACCACCAGTGATGAAGATCCGTAATATGAATTTCATAACATGAATTTCAAGCTACCAGAACCTCGAAAGAATGAGTTTTTATGGAGATGCGAGGGCCAACACTGTTGTCTCCTCTGAGGGAAGACAGAGTCCACTGGACTTCTGGGCCTTTGTCCCCGGGGCTCGTGGACAGCCTTTCTCTCCTGTGTTCTCATCTCTCCAGGGGGTCTGCTTGGGACATAACCCCCCGAAACCCTTGCTTGCTTCTCTCTCAAGGTGAAGCCAGCAGGCCAATAAGGGGCCACTGCAGTGAGTGGGGGAGACAGTAGGAGCACCAAGAAAGTGACCCTGCTGCCCTGTGCCCCCCCCCCCCCAGGCTTGAAATCTTTGGTGCTGGAGAAACTGAGGCATCCCCTCGGCAGTGGAGCATCCCACACCAGAAAAGGAGAAGCTTCAAGAGGAAAGAAGGGCTGTGTGAAGAACCTGAGGGAATGTTTACAGCAGCACTCTTCACAATAGCCAAAATTTGGAAACACCCCAAGTACTTGAGAATAGATGAGCGGATAAAGAAACTATGGTCCATCGACACAATGGAATACTGTGTAGCCGCTTGGAAAAATGAAGTCATGAAATTTGCTTATCCATGGATGGACATGGAGAGTATCGTGCTGAGTGAAATGAGTCAGAGGTGAGGGAAAGACATAAATGATTGCAACCATTTGTGGGATATTAAAAAAAAAAAACTGTGCGAATAATACCCAAAGACTTTAATAGAAAAAAGGACCATGAGAACTGATCCACCGTAGGAAGCTTGCCACAAGAAAGGAGGGAGTGCAGTTAGGACAGAGAAGGGACCACTATGGCAATGAGTTGGAAATGATCACTCTGGACAAGAACTGGGTGCTGGAAAGGGGTAAAGTGATTTGCATGATACCCTTTCAGCACTGCAAACCACAGTGCCTAAAATAAAAAAAGGAGAGGGGGAGAGAAAGAAAGAGAGGGAGGGAGAGAGAGATGCCTGCCATATAGAGGCAGGCTGGGGGAAGGGTGTTTGTTAGTGGGAGGGAAACTGGGGACATTGGTGACAGGAAACGTACACCGGTGAAGAGATGGGTGTGGAACATTGTAAGACTGAAACCCGAACGTGAAGAACTTTGTAACTATCTGATGGTGATTCAAATTAAAAAAATTAATTTTTAAAAATTATTTAAAAAAAAGAACATGAGGGAGGAGGCAAGAAATTCTAAAGATCTCCCCTCTGGTGCCCCAGCAATCAGCTGTACCGGCACAAAGAGCCCCAAGGTGGGGGCTGTTTGGGGAAAACCCTCGAAGACCAAGTGCAGGAAAGCTACAGCACACATCCCTCCCATCTTGAGAACTGCACACACAACTTCAAGTGAACGATTCCTCTCCTCATTCCAGCCTGAGGCCAAGGAGAGAACCAAGAGAAAACCGACTGCTGGTGCCGTGTAGCACAGGTGGATCTTAGGGACAGCTTGATGGCTGCCTGTTGGGCCGTTGGGCCAGCGGGATGGTGTATGCAGAGCCAGGGAAGACTTGACCAGTCCTAAGCCCCAGGCATTTGGTGGGGGGCCAACATGGTAGAGAAGAAGAGTATTTCCCTCCACTCCCTGATCCTACCCCTCACTCCCCCTGCCTCCCACCACCACCATTCACCCTCTTACAACAAAAAGATTTAATCAGAAAAAAGTCTTGATTGAGGGTTCAGTCCGTGCCCATGAACCATCAAGACATTCTAAGCAAACATCTTTGTTCACCAGGATAGCAGGAAGATGTAGACTGACAACCTTGCCCTACCTCTGTTTGGAAAAGAGTATTTAGGGTTTATCTGATTAGCCTCCAGCTCTTTGGAGCCAAAGAATAAACAGAGAACTCCGTGGATACATCATCATGAGAAAAGTTACCCCCAAAGAAATCATGGCTGTACTCTCCCAGAAGCCAGGTGGTAAGAACAGGAAAGAAGAAAGATGACAGAGAAACCTTGGTGGTGGTGGTGGTGGTGGGCGGGGGGATATGCTAGAGGTTCCCAGGAGTTCTAGAAGCTAGAAAACAGAACAGGAAGTTCTCCTAGGAGCTCCGTACAGATGATCTCAGACCCAGAACTCTAAGCGCCACGGAAGTTCAGGCAACATTTTTTCCAAATGAGAAATTCAGGCCCTGGGCCCCAAGATGCATTTAACGTGAATTATCAAAACTAATGACTAGATGGCTTAATTCCCTTGGTTAATCCTATTAACTGAATTATCTGATTTATTAATTCCCAAACCCAACTTGTATGAGCCAAAGCAGTCTTTTGGCACTGGACACATTCTCTGTTCCACTTCTCCATCCTTTTGAGTAGGACCCAGAAACTCAAGCACAGTGCTAGCTCCACACGGGTCAGGTAAAGTCTCATCTGGGGCTGACTGGCTGGAAGAGTACCCAATCAAATCCAAAACGGTGATGTCTTGGTGTTTTCATAGAACTTCCAAGCACTTGACATGATAAAAAAAAATTTCCAGCTCTCTGGGATGAGTGACAGAAACCTTCTTAAGAAAATTAAGCTATGGATTTCTCTGGACCCCGTACGGAGCCCATTCCACCATGGCACCTCAGATGGAACAGGTGCGCCCTTTCCTCCCACTCCAGATGGCCACCCTGGTGGCCATGAGCTTCCAGAAGAAAAACCCAGGTACTTGGGATCAGGGGCTAAGACTCCAGGCCACATGGCAGCAGCAGAGATGGGCTGTCCCTTCCCTTCTCTCTGCCCGCTTAAGCTGTCATGCCCACGATCTGCCTTTGGGCACCATCTCAGGGCAACAACGGCCTTGATCCAGAGACTCCTAAATAATTCTCAAAATGAACTGGCTCCCTACAGAGATGTCTCTGGAACCCAACCATTTACAATCTTAGAATTCCAGAAGCGAAAGCAGCTGCATGACCACTCATGATATTCATAATAAGCAATAGAAAACAAATTATCTAGCATCTGCCCCTGGCAGGAAGGCTTGAATGATGGTGGGAAAATTCAAAATAATGGTGGTGGGAAGGTGTACTGGTGGTGGGACTGGTGTTGAAATACTGAATGTAATCAATTAATGTGAACAATCTTATAAAAGTAAAATTTAAAAAAAATGTAAGCTACGTTTTGTTTTGGGAGGCCATACCTGGAAGTGCTCAGGGATGACTCCTGGTGATGCTCGGGAAACCATACGCAGTGCCAGAGATCCAACTGGGATCTGCTGGATCCCAAGGCAAGGGGGCTTAATCCCTGTACTATCTCTCCAGTCCCAGAAAATAAAACTATTACTCCCAGAATGACTTGAGCGCATCCTACAAGGAAGAGGGATGAGATGCCGGTTCTCTTTGCAAGTTTCCTTGATCCGATGGAAGTTGCTGAGCACGTATAAAAGGTACTTGCTTAGCCTCCCACATGCAACCAGAAAAGATGAGACCTCTGTGCATCTGTCTAGCATAGCCACCATGTCAGCTCCAGGACACTCACTTCCCCTTTTGGGAAACCTTAATCCCTCCTCTCCTCAAAGACAGCAAGACCATCTCAGGACATTTCACCTTTTTGTCTCTAATCTTCCCTGTTCTTCATCATCCAGGCCAGACACTAAGAGAAGATGACACTAATTTTCTCTCTAAATCTAGCCAGAGGCCATTTAAACCAACTGGGATTGAAGAAAAATTCTGGAGAAAAGAAAAGATCCCACTCCAATCTGCCTCCCTGACCATGGGCTGAGCTCCCTTCGGGGAAAGGCTGCATTCTACTTCTTTTCCAAGACCAAAACAGACACTAAAAGGACCCGCAACTAGTCAGCCCTACTCACAGCGCAGTGATTGGAGCACACATCAACTCAAGTCCATTAGACACTTATTTGGTTGCTAGTTACTTCCAAGTTTATTAGATATGTTGAGCAAAAAAACCTGTCTGTTGGTTTTACTTCCTGGAGGCTTTGCTTTACGTATGTGCCAGACGGTTTTACCCTAATACTGATATTTAAGTTTGAAATATTCATTATTAAGAACTGATTCCAATGGCCAGAGTGGTAGTACAGTGGGTAGGCACTTGTCTTGCACATGGCTGATCTGGGTTCAGTCCCCAGCACCCTGCAGGGTCCCCCAAGACTGTTAGGAGTAATCTCTGATGTGCAGAGGTAAATGACCCCTGAGGGCAACCGGGTATGGCACAAAAAACTAAAAAAAAAAAAAGAAAGAAAACCCAACAACAATCAATTTTAATAACAACTGCTATTTCCTTTGATCCCTTTCTACAAGCCTTAAGCAACCGAAATACTTACAGTAAAGTTTCGGGTATTATATCATAGCACCGGCTGAGTGACAGATGTTGGAGGTAGTTGAGGTGGTAAAATTCCTCAAAGCAGTCGTTCTTCAGCATGACGCTGTCACTGTAATAGAGCAGAGGGCAGCGTTGAATTGCTGCACCAGCGAGCAACTCTTGCTTAGCACTCACAGTGCCGCCCATCACCATTCCCAACTCATTTCAATGAGTAATCAGGATCTTCTGATGGGTCTGTTGTAAAACAAATAAGCAAAAACTGAACATACCTTAAGTCCAGGTGGACAAGATTAGGGCATCTTCCAACTAAGGTAGAGAGATCTGGAAAACAAAAAATAGTCACTATTAAATGAGGAGCAAGAAAAGGACAACAGCTGGAAATATTCACAGCTGGAAATATTCACATTGTGCGACTCCAAGTTCAGAACAAGGCGACGAGAGTCTACGCTATTAGAGCAAGATCAGCAGCCTGGACACAGGACTGTCCACCCGGGAAAGTCCAGAGAAACACCTGAGGACCGACGGGAAAAGTAACAGAACTACATAAAGCGACTTGATATCAATAGCCTGTCACTGGTATTTATAGGACAATGAATGACAGGATAGATAAAGGAAAAAGAAATCCCATTCACAACAGAAAAAAGCAAAATCAAAATCACTACTAAAAAAAAAACTATCATTTAATGTTAAGTATCATTTAACATCAAATATCATTGAATATAATTAGCATTTAATATCAAAGAACAAAATCATGAGATATGAAAATATACTACAGATACCAAACCCAGAAAAAAATTTCACCAACTCAAATGTATCTAAATCAATTTCACATGTATTAAAGGGTTCTATATGCAAAAATTACTCACTGGATCTTGAGCCACGTAAATAGTTTCTAAACATAAAAAGAAAACAAAGGGAATGCTATAATTTACCATGTAACATTTCATAACTATTACAATAGAACAAAAGAAAAATACAACTAAAGTCTCAGGAATCCGAGAATAAATGTTTCCAGCATACATCCAACAGAATAAAGAATAAAAGAACATAAGTGATAGAAATAAAGAACACCAATAAATATTTTGCAAAATTAAAACATAAAAGTAGAGCAAGAAACGCAAAATAAAATTAAAATGCTGCTTTTCAGGCACCAAGTGGAAAAAATTCTATTACACCACCTAGAATTGAAGAAATAGACCAGTTCCTGACATGTAAGGTAAATAGGTGTTTCATTTTGAGCAGTTTTTCAGGAAAGCAAAATTTTCTTTCATTTTCCTTTTTTTTTTGAGGGTGAAAATATCAACTGCAGGGGCCAGAGAGATAGTACAGTAGTAAAGCTCTCAACTTGCAAGTGGTCAACCTGGTTCAAACTCTAGCACCACACATGGCTCCTGAGCATTGCCAGGGCTTGATCCTTGAGTGCAGAGCTAGGAGGAAGCCCTGAGCACCAGCAGGTGTGGCTTCTAAAGCACAAGAAGCAAAATGAAAATATTCAGGAGTTACACACACACACACACACACACACACACACACACACACACACACACACACAGCACACAGAGGTTTTCTAAGCTGGGAGGCACCTCTCAGCACCAAGCCACCAGGGATATATATATTCCCCAACAGCAACACATGTGGCCCCTCAGACCAGTCATTCAAAAAATGAATTCCTCCAAACAGGGCCAGGGAGAGAGCTCAGCAGACATCGGGACTCTGCACCCCTTCTCCCTCCAAGCCCAGCACCCTAGCCTTGGTGGGCCCTGCAGCTCTGCGCTCTGAACTGCCCAGCCCCAGGACTAATTATTGCCAGGAGTGGCCTCTAGGCCGCCCCAGCACTGATCAGGAACACACCTCCCCATGCCAACAATCGGAAGCAAGTCACATGAGTTATTTTGCAGTCCCCCAGCCCCCCAGAAAGGCTTCGTCTTAATCACTCATAAATTCGTTTGTTATTTATTTTCAAAACAAACTTCTTGTCTGAGGTTTTGTCCCTCTTTCTCACAGCTGTATCTTCTTTCCTCATCTCTCCTCTGCATCCTAAATTTTCATTTTCAGCTGGTTCAAGGTCCCACAGGAATATGCAATTAGTTTCTCCAATATATGCCTCACACCAAACCCTGATTTTGGCCCTCAAATCTGTTCCAAGTCATTTCCTTCGCAGTAAGGAGTGCCGTCACTGTGGCAGGCACTCATGCCCCTCCCACGTCCCATCTGTTACCAAATTCTGCCACATGGGGCTCTCAGAACGCGTCCCACATCTGACCCCTTCCTATCACCTGAGCTTTCTCCAGCTTCTGCGCAATCCAGCACTGAACGACTCGGAAAAGCTGTCAGATCCTGTCATTCCTAGGGCCAAAGAGCCAGTGGCCTCCCAGCTCTCAAGGAAGAAAATCCGGACCAGCCTTCCTTGGGCTCAGGGGGCCCCGCTAACTGGCATCTCTTACCACTCCCCTTCCTCAGGGCCTGCCAGCTCAAGGCCCTTCTACCAGCTGGTCCTTAGTTCTAGAATGTTCCCTCCTTATATATTTATGAAGTCTACTCATCCAGCTCTCTGCTCAAAAATTGCTTCCCCAGAGAAACCCTCCTGCTCCCCATCCCCCCATGTCCTTGACCCTCCTTTCCGTGCATGTAAAAATCCTTCCTCATCTGTCTGCCTTCCTCACAAAGATGTCTCCACAAGGGTGACTATTTTGCCAGGTGACACCCTCCAGGGCTTTCTGCCTGGCAAGCGCTCAGAAAACACGCTTTCAATGAATGACTGGATGGACAAAGTACACAAGGCAATCTTGAGGGACCCACCATCTAGTCAGCCAGCTGGCCATCAAGAGAATCCCGAGTCAGATCCGACATTCTGAAACCAGCTGGAAAGAACGGGTGCTGGGGGATGGATACCCTTGGTCTCCCTCTCCACCCTCTCTCCCTCATGTCCAGCCAGTGGTCTCTGGGTGGGAAGAGTCAATTATCTGTAGCCACGGCCAAGGTTCCTTCTTCACTTCCATTCAACAGTGGCTCAAGGATCTCAGGAACGGCTGCCTCGAGACTGCTGTTTCAGATGCCAACAAGAGAAGCCAAACTCAAGTGCAAGGCTGACAGCCAGACCCTCCGAGACGCGCGCAGAGCACGTTCAGTGTCGCCCCGTGAGAGGTGATAAAAATGACCACTCGTGACAGAATTCTTAGGACGTGCCAAGAACGGTTCAGTGTGCCTTACTCCAAGAGGTTGGTCCCATGTGATCTGTTTTATCCAGGAGAAAACTGAGGAATGAGAAGTTGAACAATCAGCTCAAGACAAACCAGTAAGTGGTGCAGCAATTCCCTGAATCCTGAATCCCTGAAGGGAGAATTCAGCCCCAGTCCAGGAACTAAAGGAATCCAAACGACACCAATGAAAGAGGGAGTGCCCTTGCCAAAGGCTCTAGTGTCAAAACCACTAGTCACGGTACTGAGCCCCTTCCACTCACCATGTGTGTCTCTGTTCTTGCATGGCTTGCAAGTATTACCTACGTTCTTGCCAATATTTGGTCAATAGACTATCTGTTCTTTAACAGAGGAACAAAGGAAAGTGTTCTAAGCTAACCTTGGGAAAAAATTAACAGCAGTTTGCCCAGAGAAGAGTGTCGCCACAGTTCTAAAACTTCAGTTCATTTCAAAGAATCTCTCTCTCTCTCTCTCTCTCTCTCTCTCTCTCTCTCTTTCTCACACACACACACACACACACACACACTCCTGTCTCTCTCTCTCTGTCTCTTTCTGTCTCTCTCTCAGTAGGAAGGAAATGTCAGTTGGGCACCACCGGCTATTTGTGTGGGAGGAAGAAGCTGACACGCAGTGAGGAAGACCGGAAAAGACTGTTGGAGGGGAGAAGGCCATCTGGCGAGAGGCGACCTCGAACCTGAGAATCATAGTCAATCTCTGGCTGGGTGTTTCTGCTTTGTAGGAAATCAAATTCGTCCTTGTCTGGGGCTGTTTATAAAATGGAGAGATTTTCAATGTTTGTTAACAAGGAGAGCAACTGATGATCTATTTCTACTCACATTCAAGTTCAACAAAGTCCAATTCTCTCCCTGAAAGTATCCACACTCTGAGTCCATTCTGTCCCACCTCTTTCCTTCTTATCCTGAGATATCTCACCAGAGAGCCCAACCATATCCTAGGGAAGTGATGTTCAAATGCTACTGAAGTGTAAGAAGATACGTACTATAAATGCTTGATCTATATCTTCTCTGGGGCGGGGATTTGGGGATCGGTGTGTGTGTGTGTGGGGGGGGGAGGGAGTGACATACCCAGCAATGCTCAGAAGTTACTCCTAGCTTTGCACTCAGGAATTACTCTTAGTGATGCCCAGGAGACCATATGGGATGCTGGGGCTTGAATCCAGGTCGGACATGTGCAAAGCAAATGCCCTACCCACTGTACTATCGCTCTGGACTTGATTCACATCTTTTTCATGAAATTAAAAATTATAATGAACAAAACAGTTACACACAGAGGAGCTAACAAGGCATTCCAGACACCAGGATTGGGTGGATGTGTACACTGGTGCCGCGCGCAGCCGGGAATGGCAAGGGGAAGCCACTACAGAGATCCTGCAGTCACTTGCCCAAGCACATCGAAAGTGTCGCAATAGCAAATCAAAACAACAGCAAGATATTACCTCACACTAGTGAGACTGGCAGACATCACAAAGAATTCCTTTAGAAGGACAGCTAGAGAGATAGAGAACAGAGGACAAGGTCTTGCTTGGCACAGGGTCGACCCCAGTTCAAACCCTGATTCGGCATATCGTTCCCTAAGCACTGCCAGGAGTAAGCCCTGAGCACCTTGAGGCGTTGCTCCCAAATTCAAATCCCCCCTGCAAAAAAAGAATATAAAAAAACCAGTGCTGTAGGGTTGAAGGGATAAAGGAGGCCTCACCTCTGTGGGAAACAGTACGCAGTATGAGTACTTGTCAAAAAATCAAGAATTAAGCTGTGGCCGGAGCAACAGTACAGAGGTAGGGCACTTGCCTTGCACGTGGCTGACCTGGGTTCAATCCCTGGTATCCCATATGGTCCTCCAAGCACTGCCAGGAATAAATCCTGAGTGCCAAGCCAGGAGTACCCCTGAGCGTTGCTGGGTGTGGCCTCAAAACAAAACCAAAATCTAAGGATTGAGTTTCCATATGACCCAGGAATTCCTCTTCTTAGCATCTACTGCAGGGTCCAAGAACACTGTTTTGTAAAGACATTTGCACTCTCCGGTCACTGCAGCGTTCCTCACAATAGCCAAGATTGGGAAACAACCTGATGGACAGCCCAAGGACAGATGAACAGATAGGGAACACGTGATACATAAACACGTGGCGCCCTCAGCTCCAGGAAAAGATGAAATACTGCGCTTTATTGCTACTTGGCTGGAACCAGAGGCCACTAAGCTGAGAGAAGTCAGAGGAGGGGGGAAACAGAACAGTCTCGCTCAGATGTGGAATATCAACAGTCCAGAGGCTTTGGGCTCTCAGGAGAGCCACCCTATACAACCCAGCTTCAAGGGGTGGGGGAGGGTGGGGGTGACAAGGGAGGTGAGACCCTGGGGCTGGAGTGGGGGTGACAAGGGAGGTGAGACTCTGGGGGTGGAGTGGGTTGACAGGGGAGGTGAGACCCTGATGGACCCTGACCCTCTGGGGGCAGGGTGTATGTGTGTATGTGTAGAACACGATGTGTGCAAGCCTCTTATCAACATTATTGTAAAGCCTGTGATTAAATAAAAATTGGGAAGAAACTGGGTAAATAAAATGCGGAGTTACACGGAAGGGGAGGGAGGAGAAGAATTGGAAGCATTTCTCAACAGTCAAAAAACAGACAAAACAATCCTGAGTGAACGCTGAGGCTTGTAGGACCGGTTCTGTGTGACCTGATTGGGTGCCTACTCCCCATTGCCCTCAGACCCAAGAGCTAAGTCAAGGTCAAGTGTGAACGGGCAAACGGGCTCCCACACGGGGGTGGGCGGGGTGTATTTCAGCTGCAGCACAGTGGCAGTTCAGATCAGTGGGTGTTTCTCTATTGCTCTGAGCACTGTTTCTAAGCACTCCTGGCTCTGCCTGCTAGATGCTGCCAGCACACCTGAGAGGCCTCAAGCTCTCCAGAAGCCCCCAGTGCTGGCACCGGCCAGTGACCCCTGTCCCACACCCATCAAGGGCTGCCCTGCCCTGTTCTCATCGGGGTTTTCCAAAACTACAGGTGGAGCTGATGACAGGCTGGTCAGGTAGTGACCCGGGTCTGGTGCTTGCTTTGTGCGTGGCCCACTCTGGTTTGATCCGTGCTATCCCCTATGGCGAGCTCTGCCAGGAAGGGCCCAAAAGCAAAAAGAAAACAAAAACACAAAGAGCAAGTGGCAGAAGAGTTCCACGCAAAAGTAATGTCGCGTCTGAAGGTTTTGACCTCTCCAGCCCACACCGGTCACGGCCTTCACCTACTCCCTGCTGCGGAGGGCGGCCTCGAGGGAGGGCAGGTCAGGGGGGGCTCACCTGCTCTTGAGAGGTTCTTCCGGTAGCCACTGAGGTTCAGCTGGGTGATGGTCTCGGACACGTGTGCCACTGCCACTTGCACGTGCTTCTCCGTGAAGTCGAAGCACCAGGAGAGGTTCAGCTCGTCCAGCCTGTACGGGAAGAGGGACACAGAGGAAAGTGGGCGGCTGGAGCACAGACGCCAGAGGCTGGGGCTTCAAAGGAAACGCCAAGTCGCAGCTCCCGGAGCACTTCACAGAGGAACCTCTGCTGTCATGAGACAGTGGACCCTTGCTCTCTCTACTCGGCTGCCTGGGGTCTGCGCCCAGGTCCTGGTGAATGCTGCCCCCTTGTGGCGATGGAGAGGCAGGCCCCATTGCTTTGGACATCCAACCCAGTGCCAGAATTGAATGTGGAAACTCTAGCCTCCCTGCTCTTTCTCAACCACCAGGCTGTAGGCAAACACCATCCAGACACAGCAATCACCTGAAATGTGTTTTTTTTTGTTTTGTTTTGTTTTGAAATCTGATGGATTGTACCAGAGGTTCATCAAGAGACAGTGACACTGAGAGTCTCTTTCACCGTATCTCCACAAAAGCCCGATTTGCCTTTGTCCAGTGGGTGAAACAGCAGGTAGGCATGAAACCATCTTCCCATTCCTCACATGCCTGAGCAGTGCAGGGCTTCCTGTTTCCCCTTCCTACAACATTCCTATCCAAAGAAAACCTACTTCCAGCAGATTAAGAAAACAGAAAACAGAGCTACAGTGCTTTAGCAAAAGATCAAGGGAATAGACAAGAGCACACCCAATATTGCATATTCTGGGATCCACGCCCCCCTCCCACTTCATATCTGTAACTCGTCTTATTTCGATACTGACTTATTTCAGTTTCTCTCTCGTGTGTGTGTGTGTGTGTGTGTGTGTGTGTGTGAGAGAGAGAGAGTTTGGGGGGGGGGTGGGGGTGCCACACAATCATCAATGCTCAGGGATTACTCCTCGATCTGCACTCAGGAATTACTCCTGGTGCTCAGACGACCATATGGGATGCTGGAGATCAAAACCCAAGTTCACCACATACAAGGTAAAGGCCTACCCGTTGTGTTAACTCTCCAGCCTCCTACTTCACAAGAGATGCTTTTAATAAATTCACCAAACTTATTATGTATTATCTGTCAATATGCACCATATTTAATCAAAAACTTTTGGTTAGGCCTACAGAAATCAATTATAGGGGGAAAATTCTGACTACATACAGCCAGTTATGAACAGATGAATTTCAAATCATGCTTAGTGTGAATAGACACACTATTACTCTATCTTCCTAGGTTTGACATTTTCTTTTTTTAAAAGGAATTACTAAACTAAGCATCTCTTGCAAACTTGATTGATTTGGCTCCTGGAAGAAAAAGCATACTGTATGATCCAAATCAAGAGCTTAGCATGTTAAAACAGCTTAAGGGTCAAGAAATAGTACAGTGAGCAGGGCATTTGCCTGGGCTATCGCTGACCTGGGTTTGATCCCTGGCACCAAACCAAAACAACAAAATAAATACCTTAAAAATTAACCCAATTTGTAGCTGAGGAGACAGTACAGCAGTAGGTAAAGTGCCTTACTTATACATGGCTAATCTGGGTTCAATCCCTGGCACATGTGATCCCAGAGTCTGTCAGGAGTGACCCCTAGTGCACAGCCATGAGCAATGAGCACTACCAGGTATGGCCCAAAAGAGAAAAACAAACAAACAGGAAAACAAAAAAAAAAAAAGAACGTTGTCCAATTCTCTTCAGACGTGAAGAATAACAGCACCTTTGAAACAGCGCTACAGTCAAATCACAAAACTTCCTACCTGCAGCAGCTATTCAGCAACGTCTTCAAGGCAAACTCAGAGAATCCAGAACACCCAGAAAGGTTTAGTCGCAGCAAGTTTGAGTTCTGTGCCAGATTACTGGGAAGAGAAGAGTGGGAAAAAATCATGAAGATACTTGTACTTGATCCACAGACTTTGTGAGTACAACGGGTTCGTGGAGCAGTTTCACACACACAGATAGTGAGTGAGAAGTGAGTTTAAATTCAGAGCCACGATGCAACACCCAGCAGGGAATGGTTTACCTCCACTTCTTTATCTGGGAAATGGCAACTGGGCTCTTTCTGGCAAGAGCAAGACAAAACACCTACTGTGAACGAGTGCTGAGCACAGAACCTGGCACCAAGACTTGGCCACCAATGCGGCTGCTGGCTACAGTCTTCTTTCTCGAAGATACCCCAGACTTGCCCTCCCTTTTCCCTTCCCCATGGCTTCAGGCTGGTGAGCTGGGGGGGATGCAGAACAAGAATTCTGGATTTACACTTCACTCCCAGGTTCAAATCTTGGATCTGCCACCTATGCGTGGAATAAGGAGAACACATTTCACATTCCAAACAAATGAGAGAGCATCCCTTTAAAGTATCCAGTACTTGGCACTGAGTAGGTGCTCAATAAACATTACTGTGACAACTACTCCCCAATCATCAGGTTGCAACATTTCTCATCAGAATAAATCCAATAAGATGCAAACTAGTCTAGGTTCCTGCCTAGATCTTTCATGGTGCCCCACCTTTCCATTTCAACAAAGTTATCTTCCTTGCATCCTCAGAACCCACTTTATTGTGCTTCTCTTTATATCCCCCACAAGGAGGGGTTGGTCCCTCCATCTCATTCCCGTCGTGTGCCTCAGCCCCAGGCTCACGCAAGCCCCACAGCTGGAAGAACTCGAGCCACGGAGCTTGACCAGGCCAGCCTCCTCTGCCCTATCTCTTGGAGATCTCCTGCCCGACTAGCTTTAGTGCTTAGCTTAAGACTCACTTCCGCCATGGGGGCTGCCCTCCCTAGAGGTGATCACAGCCTTTCTGACTGCCATAGCATCACCAACACTGCAGGTCTCGCCCACACCCGACACCTGCCTTCATCTTTGTTTAGGCCCCAGCAGAAGGCCGGCCTCCCAGTAGCCAGTGACCTTCTGCTGCTCACATGAGTCCTGGGAAGACTGGGAGAAGTTAGACACGTGCACTGGCTGTTTCCTGGGCCCACCAAGTAAGGACAAAGGGTGGCCCAGCTAGTCAGGAAACAGACAGAGATAGCAGCCAGCTGCCTGTGGTCAGAGAAAAAGAGCTTGCCAGGCAAGGATTCAACCTTGATTTTCATCACCATGAACTCCCCTCCCACACACACTGCTGGGTGTGGCCCCGGTGGTCCCGAACGTAAAAGTACCGGGGTCTGGGTTAAATCAGTGAACAGAGAGGTTGTGTGTGCATGTGTGTGGGGACAGGGGGTGAGGGCCAGGGTGGGAGAGGGGTCCTGACCGGGATGCCACTCACTTGACCACAGCATCCGACAGCCGCAGGCCTTCCAGGCTGAGATTCTGCAGCTTGAAGCACTGGGACAGCAGGCCGAGCAGGGCAGAAACTTCGATGACGGAGTTGGACAGGTCCATGTGCTGCACGCGGAAGGGGCTGAGCCCACGAGAGAGGGAAACGGGGCTCCGTAAGATGCGGGGACACGTGCCTCTGGATCACATCGCCTCCCCATCCCCACAAACACGCCATCAACACCCCTTTCCAGGAGCAGCAAAGCTTTGGGATTCTAAATTATTACTAGGCCCAAAGCCATCCCCACCTCCTTCATCCAGACATAAATCTAAGTGAACCTTTTCTTTCCAGTTTTAAAACAAATGGTATCACTATTACAAAGATACTTATGATGGCATTTCAGGTATATATTGTTCTAATACCAGCCCCTTCACTAGTGCCCACTACCCTCGACCAACGCCCCAGTTTCCCTCCCACCCTCCACTCTTCCTCTGTACAGGCACTTCTTCCCTCCTCGACTGTTCCCTCTCCTAACTTCTCCCCACTCAGCCCTGCCCCAGGGCCACGCTTTTGCCTGCAGACCACTTCTCCTGATCAGTTTCTACTGCCACCGGGCACCTGATATTCCCCTAGGAGACTTCTTGCTCTCCCACATACGAGAGATCATCCTGAATCTGCTCCTGTTCCAGTTCAGGAGAACATCCGCTCCCGTTCTCTTGAACAGCTGCTGCCTCTGGAGGAACCCTCTCAGAAAGGAACCAGCGGGGGCGTCATGGGAATGAGCTGGATGTGGGTACCCAGAGATGAAGTTCACGATGCAGCCCACGGTGTGGGGGGTGGACGCGGAGGGCAGGGAGGCAGCGGTGGCCACGATACATGGAGGGGGTGGGGCGCGAGGCGGGGGAATGAGTCAGGCCTAAGGATGCTCACACGGGGGCTGCAGATCTGGACCCAGAAGGTTCTGGGTGCTAGACGACAGGACATGTATGAGCGGGCTGAGTGAGGTGCGGGTGGGGAGGACACGGGCTTGCCTGAGGGCACAATGAGACTCCAGCTGCTCCGAGGACAGAGTCGGTCCTTGTCTGTCCTTTTGTCATCAAAGTGGCACTGATCTTCAGGGAACAGTGCACAGAAGTTGTTCAGAATTCCCTGGCCCTGGGACTGGAGCACTAACACAGCGAGTAGGGCATTTGCCTTGCACGCAGCTGACCCAGGTTCGATTCCCAGCATCCCATATGGCCCTCTGAGCACTACCAGGGGTAATTCCTGAGTGTGGAGCCAGGAATAACCTCTGTGCATCACTGGGTGTGACCCAAAAAGAAAAAACACACACACACACACAAATTAAAAAACAAACAAACAAACAAAAAAACCAGAATTCCCCAGCCCTATCCCTAGCCGGCCCCTCTCAAAGAGGGCTGCTGGCTGGAGTCGGGACCTGCCCATGACACAGTGGCAGAAATGAATTCTGGCCACCTGGGGGGGTCTCCTCGGTGTCCAGTGTCCCCGGCCACCCTCTCCATCACTAAATTCTCTAGCTCCTCTCTTTGGCTTGGATTTTCTCTTTTCTCCCCTTGGCACCTGGTTATCTAGGCTTCACTCCTCCAAACCCTCAATTCTCCTCAATTCTTCCTCCTCCTGTCCTCCTGGTCTGGACATTCCAGGTGGCTGAAGCAAACTCCTGCACAAATGCCTCAACATTTTCCTTAGTTCCTTGTAGATTTCTGTTTTCAAAAAAACCGGGTCGAGCTCATGGCTCAAGGTAGAGGACGTGCCTTGCATACGTGAGGCCCTGGGTTTGATCCCTGGCATTCCATGGTCTCCAGAGGACCACTAGGTACAGAGGACCCCCAAGTACAAACCAGGAGTAGCTCCTGAGCACCACGGGGTGTGGCCCCTAAACCAAAATCAAACCAAAAAGCCAAAAAATTTAAACAGGTGCCAAAGCAATAGAACAGCAATACTGTGTTTGCCTTGCATGTGGTGGACCCAGGTTTGATCCCGGGCAACCCATATGGTCCTGCGAGCACCATCAGGTATGATTTCTGAGTGCAGAGCCAGGAATAATAAGCCCTGGAATGGCCCCCAAAACCAAAACAAAAACAAAAGAAAGAAAACTTCAAACAGACACATGATTTCTTTTGTTTTGGAGTCGTACCAGTGTGCTGAGAAGCGAGTCCTGGCTCAGTGCTCAGGGCTCATTTCTGGCTGTGCTTGGGGGATCATCAGCTGTGCTGCAGACTAAACCCAGGTCCTCTGCGTGCAGGGCATGTGCCCTGCCCTCGCTCTACCTCTCTGGCCTTGCCAGAAGATTCCTTTTGGGACACGGACGCCTAAGGAATGAACACGGAAGGGAAGACTGTAAGATGCGCCAGTCACCAGTGTGTGCAGCTCACAAGGGAACTTATTTTTATTTGCCGCTCCAACTGTGCTCAGGGATCACCCCTGGCACCATATGCAGCAGTGTCAGGAATCAAACCAGAGTCAGCTTTGTGCAAGGCAAACCCCTTCCCCTGACTCTCTCTCAGGCCTCGGAAGCAAGCTGAGCGCTGCTATCTTTAGCCTCTCTTTCTGTTCAGTAAGTATCTAATTATCCAATATAAAAATATTACCTAGCTTTTACAACGTGCTTGTGAAAACCAAAAGACACCAAACACTGGAACAGTGCAATGTGCTTAAATATGCAGGCTAATGCAGGCTAACAATAGTATCATTTATCCAAGTATGAGATGGCATGGAACTAACAATGATCATGGAGAGAAAAGGTTTTCAAAGAAGCACCAAACATAAATTCCAAGCTGCACATTGATTCTGGATGAGGTCAGAAGCTTCCAGACACAAAACCTGAGGAGACGTTTTCCTTGACCCGGAAAGAGCAGCAGAGAACCAGCCCTTCCACCATGGTCCCCCTGTGAGAAACTGGCTGTGCAGTTCTGAAACTGAGAGGAGCCCAAATGCCAAGACACTGGTGCCCTTGTCCTGTCTTTGGATGGCCACACCCCGTAAGCCCTGGGGGCCAGCACAGGAGGCAAAGCCAGGAAGGGGAAACATTTGGGGGCAAAGGAAAGAATTCAGAAGTCTGGAGAAGCATGTAGGAGCCCCGGGTTCCATCCCTGGTACTGTATGGTTCCCCCAAATCCACTGGGAACAACCCCCAAGCACCAAACCAGGAGTTCCCCAAGCATTGCTGAGTGTGGCTCTCCAAACGGAAATAAAACAAATTAAAAAAAAAAATTCCCCAAAGATCCAAGCTCCAATCCATTTCCCACTTCAAGCTTCATTCAACAAATTAGGAACTTCACTTTTCCTCTTTCTTACCTGAAGTTTTCAACTAGCGGCTGGTCCATAAATGATCGAGGGCAGCGGAAGGCCACCACGCCTCGGGACAGCAGCTGACCAGCCACGTCAGGGTGCAGGTTTTTACCAGAGAGATCCAAGGTCTGCCACAGAGACTCGTCAAACCTGAGAGAGAGTGGACATGTCCATGTGGTAAGTCCAGAGTACTGGGGGCCCCAACACGGAGGCTGGCACGAGCTGCTCGCTCAAAATGCCCTGAAGCAGATTCCGTAGAAACCTTTAAGTTGGTGATACAATTGGTCAGGACACTTTAATGGATCAGCCTTACATGATTCTGCTGAAAGTTTCTTGGGCTATTGTAGTAAGCCCAAGTTTCAATGTTCTCATTAGCACTGCAATAATAGAGAAGGCAGAGAACAGAACTCCATCATTGAATCACTTTACTTTTCGAATTTTATGATTGCTCAAATTTCTTATTCTTGACTAGGAGAGCAGGCTCAAATGTACCACATGATCCCACCTGGCGTTTTCATTAAGCATCAACAGATGACCACCACAATCCTAAATGCACGTAAATATAACCTCACAGGGGAAAGCTACCACTTTCTGATTATGGGATATGGCTATTGGACATCTATTAGGACAAAGAAGCCATAGTTCTTTCTTGCTAGTTGGCAACACTCTCTAAGTTTAAAAATACATATATTTACATGCATCTAAATATGGATATGCATATAAACTGATGTGAATGGGAAAATATTACTTAGCTTTTACAAAGTGCTTGTAAAACAAAAGGCACCAAATATTCTGAACAGTGCAATGAACTTAAATATCAAGTTAATGCAGGTTAACAGCAACAAAAGAAAACATGCCATCAAGTATGAAAGGGCATATTTTAATTTGGGGGTTGTTTGTTGTTTGGGGAGGGGTCATACTCAGCAGGGATCAGGGGCCACTCCTGGTGGTGCTCGGATGATCGTATGGTGTGCTGGGGATCAAGCCCAGGACAGCTGTGTGCAAGGCAAGTGACCTCTACCTACTGTACTATTTCTCCAGCCCAAGTAGGGAATATGTTTCATGCCTACTAGAATCTTTTAATTCATTTATTTAAGGGTTTGGGAAACACACTGGCAATGCTCAGAGCTTACTCCTGGCTCTGCACTTAAGGATCACTCCTGGCAAGGCTTAGGAGACCACCCAGGGTGCTGGGGATTGAACCTCGGCTGGCCACATGTAAGGCAAGCACCCGAGTTGCTGTACTATTGCTCCAGCCTCTCTTTCCTTCCTTTGAATACCACTGGAAACATACAAAATCATAGCTGGGCTTCAAAATAATTGTGCATCACACCACTGCCAATGTGGTCTTTGACATCTATTATCCTATTGCCCTCATCTCCCCTAGAACCTCCTGAGAACGCAGTGTGGCCTAGGACTGCGCCCACAAGTGTTTGACACTCTATATACAGCTTCCAGAAAGGGGGTGAGGGTGGGGTCCCCCACATTGCCAGGCAGCTCCTCTCTTCCACTGGGAGCAGATGATGGGAACTCTTAATTATACCAAGCAAACACCTGCTTGGTTTCATGCTGCTTTATTTTCCTCGTCTTTGAAACCCCAGTGGCATAAATAAATCCCCCCTTCCCACTCCTCCACCTCCTCCTGCTCCTTTTCCTTCACACCACCAAAGAGGCTGAAGAAATAATACTCACGCAAGGTGATACCACCTCTTGCAAACGCTGGAGATCTTCAGCAGTTCGGGGAGACAGAGGCAGGAGAAGATTCCCAGGAGCAGCTCGTCCGGGAGGGAGTCCCACGACACGCCTGGGAGGGGAAAGGCAGAGTCTCGTGTCACTGTTCCTTACCCCAGCGGGTTTAGAGGGGAGGGGGGCACAGTGTAGTCAGCCCACAAGGGGAGGCCGGGGGGAAATGCAACGACTTGGCTTCAGGAGTCTTCAGTTTACACACCGCCTATACAAAACACTCTCATATCTGAGTAAAGGTAAAGGTAAAGGCCCTCCCGTTGATCGTCGATTTGCTCGAGCAGGCCCAGTAACGTCTCCATTGGAGACTTTGTTGTTACTGTGTCTGGCATATCGAATACTCTCGGTAGCTTGCCGGGCTCTCCGAGAGGGGCGGAGGAATCGAACTCGGGTCGGCCGTGTTGGCCGCTTGTAAGGCGAACGCCCTACCCGCTGTGCACCAAGAATGCTTTCCCTAACATTCTGGTATGTCATGCCTGCAGGCCAAGCCTTTTTTACTGTTTGCTTTTTTGGGGGGTCACACCTGGCGATGCACAGGGGTTACTCCTGGCTCTACACTCAGGAATTATTTCTGGCGGTGCTCGGGGGACCATATGGGATGCTGGGAATCGAACCCGGGTCAGTTGCATGCAAGGCAAATGCCCTACCCGCTGTGCTATCACTCCAGCCCTGCAGGCCAAGTCTTAGCAAGGCCACATCTATGCTCCACAACAATTCCTAAGACTGCCATCACTGAGGAATCCTTCTCTTCTCTCTGAAATGCACTCAGGGAAGATATATCCACCAGTGACTATTTAAAAGGCCACTAAACCTCCTTCCCTCTTTTTTGTTTTGGGGTGACACGGGGCAATTCGACACTCGACACTGGATACGCGGAGAGTTAGAGTTACTCCTGGCAGGCTTCGGGAACCACATGTGGTGCCAGGGATCAAACCTGGGTCAGCGGCTTTCAAGGAAAATGCCCTACCCAGCTTACTATCTCCCCAGCCCCAGCCCTTTCTCTCCCCCCAAATTTTATGCAAGCCTGGGTAGACAGGTATATAAAATATGCATACAAGTCAAGCCTTCACTGTCCATAAATCATAAAGAAATTGGCTATAGAATATTTCACAATCCCCATTCAGCTGCAAGACCCCATAAGAATTCCTCACTCAGGCGAGGCTGGGCAGCAATCTGAGCACAGGCTGAGGCACTCTTGCAGGCTGGGCGGGAGCTGCCCTGGAGGCTGTGTTCAGAATAGACCAGAGGGCTGAGGTGCTGCCTTGGCATGTGCTCAGCCCAGGGCTGATCCCTCGTATCACATAGGGTTCCTTGAGCTCCACCAGGACTGATCTCTGAGTGCAGAGCATGGAGCACCACTGGGTGTAGTCCAAAGACAAACAAAAAAGCACACCCCCTCTCCTTAAAAAAAAAAAAAGCATAAACCAGAGGGAGCGAGAAAAAGTTGTTTGTTTGTTGCTTTTGGGGCCATCCAGACTCAGCAGGGACCAGGGATCACTAGGGTTCGGTGCAGGAAGACAGGATTTCTTTCTTTCCTTCTTCTCTCCTCCCCCCCGCAGCCCCTTCCTCCTTGGCTTTTTGTTGGGTCACTGTCATGGCAATGCCCTGAGGTTAGCCCTACACGCTGTACTATTGCTCCAGCCCCAAGACAGGATTTCTTAGTGTTATCCAAGTGATCTCTAACTGCCTACTGAACAAGCATGAAACAATGACACCCAAACAGATAGAACTGTATTGCAGAAGAGTACAACCACCCATCCCCATACTGATCGTTTAGTGAATGCCGAGACAGGCACAAGGAGTACAACATTGAATAAAGCCTGCGCAATCGGAGTCTGAGACACAGACACACAAGCAGCATCAGCACTTTCGTGATGGGCAGCAACAGGGGTGCTACGCTGCAGATGGGCTGGAGCAGTGGTCTGGGCAGCCTTCCTGGAGGGGGTAGCTGTGGTTGAAGAAGACCGTGTAGGAGACGGCAGTTGCTCAACTGATGGTGGTCTCCCTTTCTCCAAAGTACAGAATGAAAGAACTGAAAACTCGAAGGGAGAAAAATTATAGGATTCTAATTAGTGATGAGGAAGCTGGAAGGAAAAGAAGCCCCTTTAAATAAGCTAATATAGCGGAGGGCACTCAGGGATCAAATCTGCAGGGGGCTTCCTGACACATAGGGCACCCAGCTCCAAGCTCTCCTCAGGTAAGCACTGGTGGATTAGTCTGCCTGTGGCTATCAGTCACTGGGGGAATGTGTGGGAGGGGAGACTCTCAGGGAGGGGGCAGGAGCCAAAAGCGCCCAGCAGGCCGGTCCAGTAAACAAACGCCTTCCAGCACAGCCCCATCATGCCTCCCATCCCTAGAGGAATGTGAGTTGCTGGATTAGGCAGCCGGTGGGGAGGGGAAATCAGAGAGGCGGGCCCGGAACTGCAGCGCAGTTTAAGTTAATGAGCGTGATGCTCCCTATTCTCCTGAGAAGACAGCAGCAAACAACCGGAAGCGCAGGCAGTAAGAGATGAGCAGTTACAATGCTCAAGAGGCCCTGGTGCAGCCACGAAGGATGATGCTGGCAGACGGCAGCAAACCCAGGTGAGGCAGCCAGCAAGGAGGCGGGTCTTGGCTCAGCTCTGCCCCACCGACCCGGCTCTGTCTTTGGGTCTCAGCTGAAACGCTCCAAGAAAGCGTATCATCTGGCCATCTCTGGGAGCGTCCTGCCAGATACGCGCAACTGGTACCCAGGACTGTATCTGGCACCAACAAGCCACCACCAGATCTTTGCAAAATGCACGATCCTGTCTGTTGCCCCCCTCATCCAAACTGTCCATGTGCCAACTCTGTATCTGGTGACCGGTGGTTAACCAATTCCACACCTGCTCAGCACAGAGGCCGGTCTAAAGAAGAATGTCAGCCAGTGCTCAGCTGCTAGTTGGCTGCTAGTTTACAAGAGAATGACAAGGCATCCAACACCCCACCCTCTCTCCCGTGCACAGCTCCACTCCCCTCTCTTTTGGATTTTGGGCCACACCCAATTTGGTCTCAGAGTTCGCTCCTAGTCATGTTTGGGAGGGGGGGTCCCGCCTGGTGTTTGGAAGAGACCCCAGGACTCCGGCATGCGTGGAGAACATGCTCTCCCTGGTACCGGGAAAGCTAGCTGTATTTCTCCAAAGAGGCAAGGCTGGTGCCCCCGGAGAACCAGTCTCTTCATCTGTAAAATGACACAGTTGAAGGCACTACCTCGGTAAACATTCCCGAGGTGTGTAATTAACGTACCAGAGCTGTGAGCTGGGTGTGAGCCTAACCTGGGCCCTGGGGACTCATAGAGAGATGAATAATAAGCCAATGCACGGCCCTAACACATAGAGCCAACACACGCCCTCCCTGTGTTACTAATAAGCCAGTATCACACACTTAGGGCCGTGACGTACCAAGGCCCAGAGAGTCTGGCATTAGGGGGAACGGGGTCAGGGTTTCCAGTGGAACAGCCATAGGCCCGTAGCACAGACTCAACACCACCGAAAAACATGAGATCTAAACCACAGCCACGAAGCATTGAAACGCGCCTGCCCAGTTGGCAGGTAGGGGGTACGGGGATGCGGGAGAGATCATGGGGACACTGGTGGAGGGAAGCTGACACTGCTGGTGGGACTGGTGTTGGAGTACGGAGTGCCTAAGACTCAACTATCGATAACTTTGTAAATAACGGCTCTTTAAAAATTAAAATAAAAGTTTTAAAGAGTCAGGCATTTCCTCTGAATAATAAATTATTTCATTATGAAAGCACAGCCCTTAATGCATGCAGCGCCCTAGGTTAATTTTATCCACAGGAGAGGAAACCTATCTCAGAGGGTTTGTAAATAACTTCACCAACTCTTAGATGGCAGGAGCAGGAGGCCCCCTTGGAATGCCAAGCCTAGATTCCAGTGACCGAGCAGCTCTGGGAAAAGCTGTTTCCAGATCCAGACCCAGGTGAAGGGACAGAGCCAGGGAGGAGAGGAGCTGACGGCTAGCCACATGGTCACAGGCACCAGGGGTGGGGCTACAGACCCTGCCACAGAATAGCATGGCCCTGTGGCTGTCCTGGCAACAAACTGAAGACAAAACCCCAGGGAACCTTGGTCATGTCCTTTGTTTTGCCCGAGAGAGTGGTCTTTGCCGCAGGGTAGGCATTTGAGGAGAAGATCCAACTGGGACAAAAGTGACAAGAGTCCTGCAGGTAGGAAGCAGAAGAGTAGAAATGCAAACCCAGACCTGACCCCAAACCATACTCTCTTCTGTCACCCTGGGGCTCTGCACGTCTGTTCTCCCTAGGTTTAGGCTAAAGTTCTCCAAGCTTCAATAAGAAGGATAAACCTAACTCTGTGTGTGTGTGTGTGTGTGTGTGTGTGTGTATGTATATGCTTCTCCATAGCACTGTAGCACTGTCCTCCCACTGTTCATCAATTTGCTCTAGCGGGCACCAGTAACGTCTCCACTGTGAGACTTGTCGTTACTATTTTTGGCATATCAAATACATCACAGGGAAATACGTCACGGAGAGCTTGCCAGGCTTTGTCATGAGGGCGGGATACTCTTGATAGCTTGCTGGGCTCTCCAAGAGGGATGGAGGAATCAAACCTGGGTCAGCCTCGAGCGAGGCAAACGCCCTGCCTGCTGTGCTATCGCTCCAGCCCATGTATATATAATATATATCTATATAGATGGGCTGTAGCGATAGCACAGCAGCAAGGGCATTTGCCTTGCATGCAGCCAAGATGGCTGACCCGAGTTCAATTCCTCCGCCCCTCTTGGAGAGCCCGGCAAGCTACCGAGAGTATCTCGCCCCCACAGCAAAGCCTGGCAAGCTACCCGTGACGTATTGGATATGCCAAACACAGTAACAAGTCTCATGATGGAGACGTTACTGGGCCCGCTCAAGCAAATTGATGAACAGCGGGAGGACCATGATCTATATAGATATACATGTGTTTTATATATATATATATATATATATGTATAGAGAGAGAGAGAGAGAGAGAGAAATCAGCTAGGGAGTGGGGTTGGAGGTGAGGAGTGGGATAAAGGGGCAAG